TTGCTAATTGCCTCGAAAGCAAAGAAAAATCTTTAGAATATCAAATTTTAGTTATATACGCAGTTTGGTATAAGGCAACCATTTTAAAACCCTGATTTATTAGGATACAGTTCCTATAGTTGTACTATTATAGAGTACAGCCACCCCTGTGCCACATCTGTCCTTTGCGTCGCTGCACGCAGATGCTACTTTTCTACCCTTCTTCTTCTAGTTCCATGACCGTTATCGATCGTTGGATATCATGTTGGCTACCATATTCGCTATCGTGACTTTATTGACAGCAGCTCTAAATAACGATGTAGTTGATTTTCCATACCATTGCCTTAGATTTTTCAGCCATGATGTTCTTCTTCTACCAGGACCACGATTACCTTGGATCTTTCCCTGAATGATCAGATGTAAAAGATCATATTTTTCAGGGTGTCTCATAATGTGACCGAAGTATTCCAGCTTGCGTTTCTTTATTATATTGACCAGTTGTGTTGTTTGGTTCAGCCGTCTAAGGACCTCCTCATTTCTAACTCTGTCGACCCAGCTTATTTTCAGTAGTCGTCTGTATACCCACATCTCAAAGGCTGTCAAGCGTTTAAGCATAGCCTCAGTTAGAGTCCACGCTTCACTCCATACAGCAGGACAGGAAAGATGTAGCAAGATGTCATTCGAACTCTAAGGTCAATGCTAAGATCGTGACTGCAAAGTACGTTTCTCATTTTTACAAAGGCAGCTCGGGCTTGTTCTATTCGGCTTTTAATTTCTGCGGTTGGATCCCAGCTCTCATTGATATTACTGCCGAGATACACGAGTTTCTCTACTCTGTCCAGTGTGGCATCTCCGACTTTTATACCGTCATCCTGTATATAATTTTGTTTGCTAACTATCATATATTTAGTTTTCTTAACGTTGAGTTTTAATCCATACTGATCACAAGTCTGTTTTATTTTGTTCATTAGATTTTGAAGGTCTTCTCCGCAATTAGCAAGGACTAAGGTATCGTCGGCATGTCTAATATTGTTGACGGTTACTCCATTCACAATAATACCTTCGGTTGTCTCCATTAAGGCTTCCTTAAATATTTCCTCCGAATATAAGTTAAAAGTAAAGGCGACAATATACAGCCTTGTCTCACTCCTCTTTTTATATTTATTTCATCCGACAGTTCTTGTTCAACCTTTATTCTTGCCACTTGATGCCAGTATAGATTTGTAATTATTCGTAGATCTTTATCGTCCAATCCAGCTGTTTCCAATATTTCTAGCATTTTGTTATGTCGGACTTTGTCAAAAGCCTTTTCAAAATCGATTGCACAAATGTACACATTTTGATTTATATCTCTGCATCTCTGTACTAGCACCTGTATACTAAACAAGGATTTTCTTGTACCCAAGCCACTCCTAAACCCAAATTGAGTATTGCTAATTCTGTCCTCTAACAGCGTGTAAATTCTGCTGTGTATTACTCGCAGGAAGATCTTCAAAACGTGACTCATCAGACTTATTGTCCGATAATCACCGCATGTCTTTGGACGATGTTTCTTAGGTATTGTGACAAATGTCGACTTTAACCAATCAGTTGGTAATATCCCAGTGTCATAATTTCTGTTAAAGAAATTACACAGAGCTTTAATTCCATTTTCTCCCAAAAACTTTAGTATTTCAGTACTTACTTCATCGGGGCCAAGTGCTTTTTTATTTTTTGCCGTTTGTATTAAACGTGTAACCTCACTTTCTGTTATATATGGACCTGATATAGCAATCGGTGTATAGTGTTCTACTCTCTCATCTTCAAATAATTCAGAAATGTAGTTTTCCCATTCTTTTAACTGTTCCAGGGTACTGTCCTCAGTAAACAAACTTTGGTATACTTGTTTCCGTTTGTTTCCAGCGACCTCTTTTAATTTCTTGTGCAGATGAAATGTATCGTGTTTCTTTTCATATTGTTCAATTTCATTACATTCTTTACTATGAAATTTGTTTTTTTCGCGTGTCTTATCTTCTGCCTGATTATTGCGTGGATCTTCTTGTATTCGTTTTTATCTTTATTTCTGTCTTCTCTGCTTTAATCCATAAGTCTCAGTATTTCTTGTCATCCACCCTTGTTTTTTTCTTGCTTTTAGTTACTCAATGCTCAATTTTGTTTCTTGAACAGTCTTTAAGATGTCTTTAATTCTTGTCCAGTTTTCCTCAGTACTTTCTTCTTTGCTTGATGTTAACTTCATTTTTTGTTCTAATATACTAGTTATTTCTTGTTTTACAGTATCATTTAGCATCGTTTCTCTATCAATAGTAACTGTTTGCTTATTCGTCCTTGCAACTCTCCAGGTCCTGCGCCTGGATATGTTTTTACTGCTAATACTGAATTTCTGTATCTCTTATTTATACATACGAAGTCTATTTGGTTACGACAAACTCATTCAGGTGTATCTGCTGGTGATTTCCAGGTGTAAAGACGTCGTTTTGGAAGTTTGAAAATTGTTTTTGTTATTATTAATTGCTTTTCTACGCAAAAAGATGCCAACATATCTCCTCTTTCATTTCGTATTCCCAGACCATATTTTCCTATGATATCTTCATGTTCACCTTCACCAATCTTTGCATCAAAATCTCCCATGATAATATTGAGATCGTGTTTCTTTGTAGGTGCTAATACTTTTTCTAAATCATGATAAAATTTTTCAATTTCTTCTTGTTCATAGTCTGTGTCTTTTGTACCCTAGCTACAGTTATTACATCATACTCAAATGGTAAGTGCTTTTTTTTGTACAGACAACATTATTGAGCTACGCCAGGTATTTTTCTGATTTTCCAATTAACTGCTAATTTATTCACAATTAAAATATTGCATGATTTTCGTTATCATGCAATATTTCGATCACCCGCAAAAAGTCCTGCAATATTTTGATCACCCAAGGTCAGAAGAAAACAACCGTTAAATATTTATTTTTAACTACCCTCGAGAGTCCCCTTGAAAAGCTACCGATTCTGTATTAATATAAAATCATGTTATTGCCCTTGTTTGCAAATATTCTAAATAATTTCTTTAAATGTATTATAGTAATGGTCCAAAATGGTATAGTTACTGATCTTTTTATACCTCCAATAATTCTGATTATTTCGGTCAACATTCAAAAACAGTATTTCGCCCAGGCAATTTTTTTGGACTGTAGAAAATATCCCACCTTCCTAATTCTTTTTATTTCCCGTTGTTAAAATAAGATGTAAAGATCAGTTTTTGCCCACTACTGAAAAAAAATACCGTTCGTGTCACCACATCTGTTAATTGAATCAACTGTTCTTAAATTCCTCTATCTCCTCTTATTTTTCTTATTTTCACTTTTGACTTTTTTGTCTCTTCGTCGAAGCAAATGCTACTCTATTATATTAAATAAATTCATTGAAAATAGGTACTGTATTACATAGTTTAAGATTCGACTGATGTATCAATAAAATTTCTTGCTAATTAAGACTCGTACTATCTTAGCAAATTCCTTTGACTCGAAATCGAAATGGATTAACTTAACATTAATTTTTTATTCTTAGTAAGTATAGTGGGATATTAGATTTTTCTATTATTTGTCTTATTTTCAGAAGGTGTTCTTAAGTACTTACCTCTACATTTGGTTTACCAAGTTTTCTCTTGAGATATTTCTCTTTGTAGCAAAGTTTTCAGTCTCTAATAGATTATATGTAACATTATCTTGCTGGCACGTGAAAAAGACAGATAGCCTTTTTTTATGTATTGACGTTATTGTAGATTTTGCTCAGTTGTCAGATCATTGCTTGAATTTGTACATTTTGTTACAAAGCAAGTGAAGCAATTTTACTCTTTTTTTCTGTAGCTTTAAGCATGTCTGGTGTTATCATATCTGGACTTGGCGCTATGTTATAGTTGAGTTTACTGATTTCCAGTTTTATTTTCTTCTCGAGTATATAAGATTCTTTTAAAATTTATTTAGGGGTTTAGTGAACAAGTTCTATGTAGAATAGAAATCGCTAGATCAGTCTTTAATAAAATGCGCAAACTCTTTTGCAATCGTGATATCAATATAAAGTTACGAATACGAATGCTGCGGTGTTATGTCTTTTCTACCCTGTTATATGGAGTTGAAACTTGGACACTAAAACAGTTGACCATAAAAAACATCGAAGCTTTCGAGATGTGGTGCTATAGGCGCATTCTCAGAATATAATGGATGGACCGCGTCACTAACACGCAAGTACTCCAAACTTTAGACAAAAGATACGAAATTCTAAATGAGATAAAAACTATAAAGATGGAATACTTGGGGCACATTGTGAGAGATGAAAAGTACGAACTTTTAAGAAACATCATGCAGGGCAAAATTAAGAGCAAAAGAAGTGTGGGAAGAAAAAAAATATCGTGGCTTCGTAATCTACGTGAATGGTTCGGGTGTAGTTCGATTGAACTTTTTAGGCGCGCTGCTAACAAAGTCGCAGTGGTCATGATGATTTCCAATCTCCGCTAGGAGTGGCACGAGAAGAAGAAGAAGAACAAGTTCTTAGCGTTGATCATATTTATGTAGATCCCGGCAATGTAATCTCTTCTATATCTTCTCTGTTAATCTCTCGTTTCAATATGTCTCTGCTATATCTTCTCTGTTAGTTCTCAGAATTTCTGTGTAGTCTTTAACGGTCCAATTTCTGGGCCGTTCTTCCTTAAAGTCTCTTGTTATGTAACGCATATCTCTCGGCTGATTGTTTTGGCTCCCAATTTCTTTACAATTATTGTGATAGTATTGTTATTTATCAGCCTTGCATGTTCGTTTTATTTCTTTCTTGAGGCTTCTTAAATTAAATTTTTCCCTTTCACTATATAGGTACACCACTAAGTCTTTGACTAGAGAAGATAAATATATCCAAATGTTACCAGTTGCCAGCAAATATCGTTTATTTACGAAGATATTTTTTGACACATTCGTCAATCAAAGTGTCTCTGTTGCTTAACTTAACTGTTGAGGGAGAAGGCATAAAAAACAAAAAAAGTAATTAACAAGTATTTGCATTTAAAAAATATTTTTATTTAAAAAACAAATTAACAAATTGTATTGTAAGCTTTATTTTTGTAATTTCTCTTGAATTTACATGCCAAACATCTCAGACGTGATTCCAGCCTGAAAATAAAAAAATGCTTTAATTAAAGTAAAATACAAAAATATTCCATCATTAAAAATGATTTGCAAAAACATAAAGTAAATAAAAGCTATTATTCTTTTCTACAATTGTTTCAGTAGCGAGTGACCTATTGTGATTTAAAGTACAAACTAACTAGAGGAAAAACTCAACGTTTCACTTAATAAAACTTAACTGTAAGAAATACTTAAAATATAAGTAAGCAGCTTAAGATAAAGAAATAAACTTCAAGGGCGTTAAAGAGTAACCGAAACTAATAAGAAGTTCGCAATAATATCTACTAAAAGCATTCCAACTATTCATGAAAAGCATCAACAATCTCAGCCGCGGCTCTCCCTTTCTCTGCAGCTGAATACTGCTCACCAATATAGCTTAATAGTGCTCGTCTAAAGACTGCTGATTTTTAATAAATAATAATATCATTATCATAATCATCATTATTATCATCATCAGTCGTTTTGAGTCTATTGCTAAACATAGGCCTCCCGTAAATAATTTCATTGCATCCGATCTCTAGCGCCTTGCATCCAGTTTTGCTGGATGTGCTTGATATCGTTTGACCACCTTGTTGGAGGATGACCTGTATTACAATAAGCATCGTATCTAGATGCTGACTATAAATAAAGAAATGAACTTAGTGAAAGAGAACCACCTATCCTTGTCTAAGACGTAAACACAAATTTACTTCTTTGTGTGACTTGTCGAGTTTTCCTAACGTTGACACTCATTTCAAGTTGATAGATAAGTGAATATTTCCAAATCTTCCGTAAGTTTAAGAAGTTTGTCGACACTGTAGATACCTGTGCAGTCCCAAAAGTGTCTTAGTCGTGATGGTTTTTATATCAATTCATCTTATATTATTGTGCCTTTTATTATTACCATGACGTATCTAAGATATTTAACCGATTGTTAAATATAACAATTAATTAAATAAAGATCTCTATACAAACTACTAAGAACAAAAAACATCTCCAGAGAGGCGCAAAGTTGAGACTATACCGAACGGTGATCTAACCTACGACCACGGTCCTGCGCGGAAGCAAAACATGGGTTATGAACAAAGGTCAAGAAAATATACTGAACATCTGGGAACAGATTGTACCGGAAACCAGGAATTAGCTGGATCGCTTGCTTAGAAGGCAATGAAAGAAGAGAACAGGACGACCACGAAAAAATTGGCTAGAAGGTTTAAAAGCCAAGGAAGACCTACATGCAATCGGGATAACAAATTGGAGAACTGCAGACTGAAAAAAATGAAAGATTCCGAGCCATAAGCCTCTAGGGTCTGAGCCTAAAAATGTTCCCAAGATCCTAAAATTTCCTTGGGTTTGATGCAGTGCTAAAGATACAAGTCAAGAATATTGAAATATACTATAATAGTAACATTTATCAACTTTAACATAAATTAGACGTATGTAAATAAAAAACTATTTTTTTGTTTTTCTTTTTTCATATGGCTAATCCATTCCCGATATGTGATTTTGATTCGTTGTCGTTGCCGTTTCTGCATTTCAAAAATATTTTTCTAATTCTATAAATCGAGATAAATCATTAATAAATGCTGTACTGTACATCATGCAGTTTAAAAATAGATAGGAAAAGAGTATTGTCACTAGACCGAACTCCCAGGAAGACAACAAACTTTGCATCAATGATGAAAGGATGTATGACTGCTGAATGTAGTATTGAAATATACGAAACAACTGTTAGAAATCAAATTTGGTACCTACCGCTTTTCCTTCAGTCACCGCGCACGCTCCCACATTGACAGCTGTCACACAAGGATCATCGACAATAAGTTCTGAAAAAAAAATAAGCGTGAAATATAACTTTTGTAATATTTCTACAGTATAATATATACTAAGATGTATTCTACAGTATAAAAATGATTTAATCTATTATATTACCTTTTTTTCCTTGGCAAGTTGTGAATACTTTCATTAACTTTTCGTATAATTCTGCGTCACTTTCTTTAACCTTCTCCATGAGCTTCAAAGTTTCGTCGGGGTTCATGGATCCATCTTCATTTTGCTGAAAATTACAATATATTTATTAACGCCAGTTGACGATGTGTCATTGATATGCGTGTTCACAAAAACAATGTTTTTGAATATTTAACTTACGATTTTGAATGCTTTGTAAACACAGGACACCATGCACTTTCCTTCGTGACTTTCTGGAATTTGGTGGGCCATTATTTGACCAACATCGTCTGGAAAAAAAATTTAAATTAGACCAAGAAATTCGTTATTTCAATAGAGTTAAAATACATGTCCATTGACAAATTAAAATATGATAAATACTGCTCATGAGAAAGTATATTTTACAAATTTTATTTTACTATTTTGGTTTTCTATTGTCTTAATGCCTTTAAATATATTAGGATGAATAAATCAGCTAAGAAAGAAATTAAAAATAACAAGACACCGAGTGAGGATAGAATTCTAATACAGAGAATAAGAGAAGGAGATTAAGAACTTAACGAAGTCTTAAAAACTCTATTTAACAAATGCTTGTTTGAACGAAAAACTTGTCGCATTATTTAAATGCTAATATTATGTACAAATCAGCAGACGTTGCTGATCTTGTAAAGTATATGTCTATAAAATTGCTTAGTCATATATAATAAACTATACAGTGGACTCAAATAAAAGCTGATATTAGAAAAATGCTTAAAACCGTTTCTAGCATAGTAGGGGGAACCCTCATCAACTCCCTAGGCTCCACCCACCACAACCAAAAAAAGTTTAAATTGCAAACCCCTACTTGTGATACATCATTGAAAAGACTATAAAAAATGCCATTTAATGATATAAATAATAATTATACAGGGTGAAGCAATAATTGTGAAACTTTGGCTTAAATGGAAAATTTAATGAGGTTTTTGTTGAACTAAAAATTTGATTTGAGTTGAAGTAAATGTTTAAAGTGACTACCGTTATTTTGTGAACAATAATACAGCCTATATATAAAATATAAAAAATATTTGCCTCCCAGAACCAGTGTTATTTACGAACAGCTCAAATATTTCATGAAAGGCATCCGGATAAGTTCTGTGTACGTTCGCGATTTAGTTGAAAAGTTTAGAGAAACGGGATCAGTGCAAAATAAAAAAAGAGATGCCCCTAGATTACGGAATGAAGCATTCCAACTTAAGGTTCTTGGAAATTTTGCAATAGAACCTACTACATCAACACGTCAAGTATCTGCAATGACAGGACTTTCACATGAGTCGGTTAGAAAGGTGTTGAAATTACATAAGTTTCCACTGTCAAAATACAAATTCTTCAAGAACTAGGCGATGATGATCCAAACCGACGAATTGAGTTTTGTGAACTCCTGACTGAAAGAATTCACGTTGAATTGATAATGTTAAAAAATATATGTTTCACTGATGAATGTACTTTTATTATGAACAGTAATGTAAATAAACAAAACTGTCAGTACGGGAGTGGTGCGAACCCGCATCGATTTAGAGGTCACACTCAATATTCTGAAAAACTGAATGTTTGGGCAGGAATATTAGGCGATGCTATAATTGGCCCCTTGTCCATACCAGGCAGTTTAAAGGACGATCAAGGCAACCTAGCTATAGACGAAGATTTGCTGCACTTCCAACAAGATGTAGCACCTCCTTACTATGCAGCTCCAGTTAGGCACTTGTTGGATACTAATTATCAGAACAAACGGATTGGAAGAAAAGGTCCTATTGAGTGGCCACCGAGGTTACTAGACTTACTGCCACTTGACTTTTTTCTCTGGGATAACCTCAAGTCAGTTGTTTATAAAACTCAACCTGCGTCACTTGGGGAATTTCGAGAAAGAATTCCGCAAGCATGTCGCACTGTTACTAAAACAACATTTGCACACTTTGTGAAGAATTTGAAAATAGGCTGTAGGTATTATTGTTTACAAAATAACGGAAACTACTTTGAACATTTACTTCAACTCAAATCAAATTTTTGTATCAAATTTGTAGGGGTTTGCAATTTAAACTTTTTTGGTTGTTGTGGGTGGGGTCTAGGGGGTTGTTGAGGGTGAGTTCTCTTTCATGTCATTTTAGTTCCTCCTTACTCTCCTAAAAACAGTTTCAAGTATTCTTCGATATCAGCTTTTGTCCATGAGGTGTAATCCATTGTAAGTTTTAAAATTGAAACACTGTATACTAATTAACAAATACAACCGATTTTATCATCATCATCATTCTAACTTTACAACCCTACGTGGGCCCGAGCCTCCTTAAGAATTTTTCTCCAGTCGTCCCTATCCATCGCCTTCCTTCGCCAAACACGTAGTTCCATATTTCTCATATCTTCATCGATGTTATCAAGGAACCTTGTTCTGAGTCTTTCTCTTCTTCTTTGACCAATGGGTCTATCAAAAAGCATTTTTCTAGCTGTCATTTTGTTCCACCCGCATTACATGCCCTATCCACCTTAGACATCCTATCATAATATGTTTATACAACCGATATCTTTCTTGTAAAATAACAGCTGGGTTTTAGACCAAGATATGGAACGAATCACCAGCTTCTTGTAACAAAAGTTTTGATCGATAAATACACTAAATATAACAAACCTTCTTTGCTATGCTTGTCTTCGTAGTCTTCTAAAATGCCTTCGTCTTAGTATATCAATGTATATATATATATATATATATATATATATATATATATATACATAAATATATATATATATAATATATATATATATATATATATATATAATATATATATATATATATATATATATATATATATATATATATATATATAGTATAGTATAGTAATATATAGATTATGCACGGTTGTAAAGCCAGAATGATGATAATGATAATGATACTTGATTTCGTTTTTTCCAAATAACATTTTTTTACTGTTCTTTCGATTTGTAGCTAAACTATCAGTATTTTAAATATAATAAATGTTGAAATTAAGGAATTACTCACCGCTCGTTGCGTGCGTTTCTGCCATACACTTTTCTCCAAATTTGGTAACTTTTTCCATAAAGGCGGCTACTACTTTAGGATCAAGCTAAAAAGCATAAATTAAATTGTATTATTAACACCTTTAATACGTAAAACGAGGTATAATGGAATATGTTGTTGTCGTCAAATAAATATAAGTGCAGTGAATATCTTCATTTACAAAATTTTCAAGAAACTGCTCTCGAACAAAAGACATAGAAAGAAAAACAGCTGATATGGTACGGACACGTCCAGAGGATGGATAACTCAAGACTCCCAAAAATAATTATGCAAGGAATCCTTAAGAAATTAGCATAATAATTTGTTTAAAAAGTTTTTATTTTGCAATGTATTTGGTTATTTTAATAATTGTGATATTGTAAATGAGTATTTTTATGCCATCTATATAGGCAACCAAATATACACTGAAGTAAATTTGGTTGTGGGAACTTTTGTGAATAAGAGACATTAAAATAATAATTACGGATTTAAAATAGTGTTATTTATTAATTTAAGATGTTTAATTTATATATAAGTTTACATTCTGATCTGAAAGCCTAAATTTCCATAAAATTCTCGATAGAAAAGTAAAGAATTATCTAGAACTTTAAAATAAGACGTCAATAGTAAGCATTTAACCTCTTACATATGTTCGAAGAATTCGAACATATTTTCTTTCAAGAATATTCGTTAACATTAAAATGATATAAATACGATGTGATTTGGATTCAAGATGGTTAGTAGGACAGTATTCAGTAGTCAGTATTTCAGTATTCGGTGGTAAATAGTCGGTATTCAATATTAAGTGTATTGGGTGGAGATTAAAAATTATATTATCTATATGGAGATTGGAAGAGGTTAAAAATTATATTATCTATATGGTGATTGGAGATTGGAAGAGAAAAGATTATTTGAAAGAAAAATAAACAACAAAGCAATAAAGAAGGAAGAATATTTTACCGATTCATAAATGCTATTAAGAAGAAAAATATTTTAAAATGGTGGAAGCTGATAATTAAAACATTGTGATCTATTTGGCAAAGCAATTTCACAAAAAGAAGGATAACCGAGGCTGATAACGAAGACATTTCGGACTAAAAAGTTCATATATGAGTATATATGAGGTAAGCCACTAAATATCTGGGTAAAAACCCTTAAAAAGTTGCAAAATTTGTTTTGTGTCACATTATTGCTAAAAATATGCCGTAATGTTATAGTATTCAACAGATATCCTGTATGACAACTTCAGACTCACAATAGGGGTTGATGACTCTCAGACGATGTCTAAATGGATTCTACATGGCAACTAATTACAATGACAGTTTTGAACGGATGCATGAACATAAGTTTTGAACAGTAGTCAATGTAACTTGACTTGACTTGAATGTAACAATGATTATAATCTCAAAAAAGAAATGAAACGAATGGAAGTAAATATTTTTCATAAAAATAAATTAAACATAATTTTTTCTTTTAAAGTTTCCAGTTACTGAAACTACGTTCACAAGCAACAGGAATTGTTAGCAATATTCTTAAACTTGTCCACAAATTTGGCATAATTGTATATAGGTCATTAATTTTTGCAAAATTTTTTTTTACAAAAATAGTTTCTATAGAATTGTTTTCTTCTTCTTCTTTTTATGTAGACATGACTTTTTCAATGTGCCTTGAGTTTGTCGTTCCATCGTTTTTGTGGTATTGCTACAGATCGTCTTCGTATTGGAAAATCTTTCCTTGCCGTCGTTACTACTCTATTTGTTGTCATTCGGCTTATATGATCATTCCATTCTACTCCTCTATTTCTTATTCAGTCCTTGATCTTCTCCACGTTTCATCTACGTCGTATATCTGTCCCATATTCTATCATCATTTTTGTCTACTCTGTATTAGGTCGTGTCTCTGCCGAGTATGATATTATTGGTCTGATGAATATTTTGTAAATTCTGCCTTTCATTTCTTTCTCGATATTTGTATTTCTTCGTATTGTCTTCATAAGGCAACCTGAGTTTCTTCTACTTCAATTTCGATCTTTCCGTAGCTAGGTACTGTGATGCCTAGATATTTAAACTCCATTACTTGTTCTGTTATCCCTTCGACTGCCAGTCCCAGTATGTGGTTATGACCTATGTGCCACTTATAAACTAACAAATTTTCACAAAAAATGCGGTAATTATGTTGTTTTAGGTCATTGTTTTACAAATTTATGATATTGGGACCGTGCAAGATCGGAAGAGCGACACCTGGTGTCGTAAATCAGCAAAATTTACTGCGCTTTCATGTTAGATCGAGGTTACCGGATAACTGTCAAGGACGTAGCCCCAAAAAAGAATAAGAAGAAAAAGTAAGATTGAGGTTATGTCGGTATGTTATTAAAAGTTTACAAGGTAAACGTTGTATGTAGTGTAAATACAATTAAATATATTATTAAATTACAGCATTACTGTTAATATGGATGCAATAATAAAAACTGGATTTGAGAAAGTAAGTCACCAAATAACTTTTTAAACCAAGCACTGAGTCGAATGGAAAAGCTTTAGTAGTGGCAAATTATGTTAAGAATGTGGAAGAATTAACAAAAAATGGACAAAGCTATGTAATACATAGCTAAACTTAAAGTTACATTAGCATTAAACTTGATTTTTGGGTTAAAGTGAACTGAAGTGATTGTTATGAAAATTTTCACTTAAAAGTGAACTTTTATTTATTATTTATTTCAAACTGACTTTAAAATCGGGCGCAAGAATAATGCATAATTTAGGTTATGTTACTTATGCTTTTTTTATGATATAAATCCATTTGTCTCTTTGTAGTAATTTGTGCTTCGAAGTTGGAAACGATTAAAACTTAAATTAACAATTTTTTGTTGTATTTTTACAATTTATAACACAGCATTTACTAAATCCCATTTTCTTCATTAACAGAAGCTGTAAATAAACAAACGAATATGAAATATGACAATTTGACAATTGACAATATGAATTTATGAAATCTATGAAATGTGCAGTAAAAAATGCAAGATTTCTCCGCTACTCGCGCACGATCGTTTCTCGTATCACACCCAAGTACTTGCACGTCGCCAATACAACAAAAAAAATATATGTTCAAACTCAAATTTCCAAAAACCTTGGGGTCAAAAACAATAACAATCTGCTCGTGGCGAGTAACATCAAAACTCGCGTTTGCAATCATATAAAGAGTTTTTCACTTCCTTTTGAACATCCCTTCAATTTTTGATAAAATGTAAAACAATATTTTAAATGTAGGTTTTTCGCATTTTAATAACAATCAAAATTTGGCGTTCCTCAAAATTTGAGGCTCGAGCCTCCCGGCTTGAGCGCTTTTTTATCTGTCGCTGATTGTAATATGGTAACAATATTGATGAATAAATGATTGAACAACTGATAATATGATACATCAAGATGAAGATAAATATATATATAATAAGCATAAATACGGGGCCATTCGTAAAAAAGGATCCCTATTTCGCTGAGAAAAAATCCGATATACTGTCAAATTACTAACGCCCTGACTGCATTAGTTACTGTCGGCCTAGCGGCCTTCGAAGATGGAGCTTTCAAAGTTCGTGTAGTGATAGTTTTTTTTAAATACCAAACAGATTTCACTTATTGATATTAATCGTCAGTTAATCGAAGATTATGGGGAAAAGCGCATATCTGTTTAGCATGTTCGCAAATGGTATAGAGGATTTAGTGAGAGAACAACGGAAATTCACGGTTAAGATCGGAGTGAAAGGTTTTCAGTTTCAGACAAAATTGCCGAAAAAGTAGAATGCATATTGCTTGAAGATCCGAGGTTTATTATTAACGACCTTGCTTTGTGTATTCTTGATACTACACATACCACAATTATTTATGTCCTGTGCTGTGGTGCTTACTCATAACAATGCTCGGCTTCATGTCTGACAATAAGCTGAATAACTGCTAAAAGTTTTTGGCTAGACTGTTGTACTCACCCTCCCCTCTTCAGTCCAGACCTCGAACCAAGTGATTATTACCTATTCCCAAAATTTAAATAATAAATTAAGTCAAGGAAGAGGTTACTCAATTCTATATCCCTATAACATGGGGATAGAATAGTTGAAGCATCGTAAACAAAAAAAAAACGTGTTCTTGTTGAAAAAAGCATTCCGTGAATAACGGTGTATATATTTAGAGCCAGGTGTACCAATAAGCAAACACATAATTGTTTAATATTCCTGTTGTTAAAATATTCTTAAATTTAGTTCTTGCGATTTACATAAATTTTCCAGAGATACTAATGTAACCTTTTCATGTCATTTGTGGTATATTTGCTGACGTATTCAGTTAATTGTGTAGGTAAATATATCACTAATTATATTTATTTATTTTTGCTATTTATGCCACTTCAAAGAAAAGAATTATTGTTTTGCAAATAAGAATAAATCAACAAAAATAATTATAGATGTTTAATTATTATTCAGTCTTCGCACGTAAAAATTGACGTCGGGAAAAGTATTATTTACATTTAAATTATTTTTCCATATTAAATGTTATTAGAAAATATCTGGTGTGTGTTTCCTTTTGCAAAAATTACACTGAACTAATTACCTAAAACATTTTATTTTAATTGCAAGTATTAATTACCAAGCACAATAATTATCAAAACGTATAACATACATCACGTAATATAGTAGTCCAGTTACAAATAAATGTTTTTTAAAGTAAAAATATATGCTGTTACTAAATTATTACTGTTGTAACAGCTTTACACACAAGAATATCACACGTGACAAACTAGAATTAGTGTATTCCAAAGTAACCCTAACAAAAGTAACCAATACAAACTTTGAAAGGGTTAATACAAAAAGAGTGGAATACCAGTTCTACTACACTGCGACGCACAAGCCGAAGGTATTCGCCCTTATCTACTTTTTACCTAAGACCGACCATACGCAAGGCCAGATGACCACAACGGGTTCCACGGCGGGTGCCGTGGAACTCACACTAACTTTCGATGGGCGCAAACAATGGGATCGGTCACTTTTAAAAAAAACTACTTTGTAAATATTTTGAGTAATATTAAATA